TTGCTCATGAAAATGATACACAGCAAAATTTGCAGAAAATATTAACAAAATGTTATATTCTATGAAATATATTGCAAAAAATGCTTATAAAAGTTACGTACAAGTCGTATGTATTCTTACCTATCTCGCAGTTTGTTCCATTGTAAGGAGGCACGCATGTGCATTCATAATTTTCGCCAACGGCTGTACAAGTCCCTTCATTTTGACAGGGGTCAGAACTACAAGGACCTTCAATTCAAATTATTACATTAATGCATATGATGTGAAGTTTACACAAGTTCTCTTTACACTGTAAAAGTCTTTATAACTAAATTAAAAGTCTTCACGAAATATGCACCGTAAAAATAAATTAGCACTTTTAAAGTAAACAATTAAAAAGAAGATCAAATAAGCCTAAATACATTACAAAAAGTTCACTAAATAAATAAGCACAGCCCAAACGTCCACTAAAATCATAATATACATGAATAATCAGAATTATCTGCATAATTTATAACAATATGTTGTTTCGGATTTTTTTAGATTCTAATGCCATTGTAAAATTCACAAGCTTCATACCACAGAATAATACACTTAAGAATTCTAAGAAGGAAGGGGTCTAAAGTAATTCTAGATAGTACATGGCTAATTTTATGTAAAAATATAACATTAAATATTTGTTCGTCAACCCCTTAATTTAAAATTTCAAAACAGTATTTTCATTAAAAAAGAAAAATTTCTTACTTATTTCACATATCATTCCTCCGAATGGAGATTTGCATAAACAAGTGAAACCACTACCATTTCTCACACAAATTCCGTCATTCAAACAAGGGTTGACATCACAAGAGTCTAAAAAGGTGGAAGCACGTAAAAAAAAAGAACTTTATTTTGTGTTTTAACTAAATGTGATGTAAAGCCTGGAAGGATTTAAATGCATGATTCATTCAGATTAAATTCTTTTATCACATACAATCATTAAAGCATGAAAATAGCAGCAGTAAAAGATTAATAATAACAACCTTCTCATTTTTTGTGGAAGTTTGGATTTCTGCAATGTTGAAATCCTATATACTCTGCTGACCATTAGAATTGTTAGATTATAGAGGAAAGTAGTTAGCAGAATCAAGCTTATTTTACAAATACTTCATTGCATTTGGCAATTTTGTAAGATCTTTCTCTTTTATTCCACATAAACTAAACTAGATCCTACAATGAAGCTGGCGAATTCTCGCACAGGCATGAATACATTACCAGCACAGAAGAAGAGTGAAAATTTCCCTTTATTTAATTCAAATAATTGACAGAAAGGCACGATCTTTGTGCTTTACAATGGCACCGTCAACTTGCGGTGAAACTGAAACGTAGAATATAATTCAAGTCAAAATCTAAAATAAAAGTCTGGATAGCCGGTTATTCGCCAACGGTTGACTCAACAAAACCTAAAGGCAAATTTTGAAATGCTGAGCTTATAGCGTAATAGCGAGATAGCAACGAAACGTGCGCTGGCTGCGGAAAAACCTCTGAATAAACTCAGAGATTCACCGTTTAAAACTCACTTCACTTAACTTTAAATTTACATCCTAGCGAGATAATGTGAGGGGAAGTTGAGGATTTCAGGAAAGGTATCAAACTTAAAATAAATTTGTTACGAAAAATAAGAGATATTGCAGTCCACTCGACTTCAATTTTCGAGTTCCTATTGGTGGATGCAGTCTTGGAATTTTAGACATGCTAGCAAGCACTTTTTGCTTTTTACACGAGGCATAACACGACCTTCAGCACAAAAAAACATAATTTTCGAATGAAATATCTGCACTTTAGAGACTGCCTTTACACTTACTTATACACTTCTATATTTACATTTTGTAACGACACCTGCTTTGAGGTATCGTTACGTTCTCCTGCAATATGCGCATGTCAGTCATTTGCATACCCGTGTATATTCTACATTTCATGTAAATTTGAGATTCCTTCATGGTGTAGCAATTTTAGTGGCTACCAGAGTAATCACTAACAGAGTTTTAAGACCTAAACGCAGACTAATAAATTACGAGGTAGAAAAAAATAACAGTTAATTAGCACCTTCATTGGTCTCTATCTCACACTTGCGACCTTTATAGCCGTATGGACACACACATCTGTAAGACCTTCGAACATCCAAGCAGGTTCCACCATTATTACATGGATTTGGTGAGCAAGGTCCTGTAAAATTTTTAAATTTATTTTGAGTCTTATTCAAAAAACATAAAATAATATCTTTCTTAAAGTAACATAGCAAACATAGTTTTTAAGTTGTATATTGAATTAGCACTTTTTATTTTAGTGTTCCCTTATTTCTCTGATTTCAATCAACGCCTGTTGCTAAGAATAAAATGAACTTATAAGGTATTTCTACCACCTTCCTAGCGTGCCCTACGGGTGTAGTGGTCAGCACACTGAGCCGGTATTTCAGGGGTCCGTGGTTCGATTCCCGGCGAAGGCGTTTGCTCATTTTTCATCTCTCCGGCTTGGAGAAATACCTTATAAATTAAAGATTAGTGCATCCAAAATGACATGAGCAAATTAGACTTCACGTTTAATAGCTTTAATAGCATAACTGGTAGCATAAACTATCAATTTACTTAATCTTAGAATGCAGCCACTAGGACTGATTGCTGTCACCTTTCACATTTTCCAATTATTATTAAGCAGGTGATTTTAAAAAGTGAAGCTTACCAATGCAAGTCTTTTTCTCTTCTTTGTACCCCTTTTTGCAAATGCATGTCTTGAATCCCCAAAAATTGTTAAAGGTGCAGTTGGATCCTGGACCACAGTTGCAAGCTGAAATAATGAAACGAAAGAACTCTTGAGAAACGCTATGTTGTTTTAAAGTCTACATTCGAAAGGCGATTTCATAAAGCAGAGAGAAATAACATTACACTTCCAAATAGCGGTTTACACGCATAAAATCAACACAAGCATAGGATAGGCACGGGGTAGGATCAACACAGACACTGTACCCACGTTAACATAAAACTGACACCAAATACCGTCCTACGAATGATACGATAAAAATGTCTGATAATGATATAATAATGAGTAAGAGGATAAAAGCACATTTACCATCTGCAGCGTCAAAGGAAGCCGCAACTGAATGCTTGAAGTTCGATTGCAGGCGAAAGGGTACGAGTCAATTTCCCTTATATAGTCTTCCCCGAAGACATCCTCTTTCAGACAGATATCCCTCGTGTGCTTTGCCATATTCAAATAACCATTTATCAAGCAACAGTGGAATTTTTCAGTTGGGAATAAATAATGGTTGAATTCCTACCTAAATAATAGTTGAATTTTACATTCATTAAAGACTGAATTCTACAGTTATTAACCCATTCTTTCAAAGAGTTTCGAAATTTAGTTACATCAGCGACTTTTGTGCCCTCGGTAATGTTCAAGAGAAATTCTTGTTAAGGCAATATCATTTGAAATGTGCAAAATTGTTTTTTAGTCTGTAAGATTCCTTTATTTTTATGAACCAGCTATTTTACGTTTTGGATCTTTACTGTCACTTCACCCTTCCATTCTCCCACCAGAATGAAACTTTGGTAGGCGTGTATTCGAGATAACGTTTTAGATTGTAAGACAGAGCATGCTGTGACTCTTGGGGTCATGTTTCTAGGTTTGCTAGATGAGATAAGATACCTTCTTTCTTCTTGGAGAGATTTTTAGGTCCCGCATTACGATTGCCGATAGCTGAATTTGAAGCCGGTTACGTTTTGAGCCAACTTCACGTTAAATTGATTTATGTAGCCTTCGGCTACTAGCTTATTTGAAATTAAATTTTACATTTGACTGTTGTTTTAATTTATCTCGGAAGAAGTGGAGGCTGAGTTGTACGTACAAAGTTTGCCTTCTCTTCTTATTTAGTTATAAAGGGCCTTTGACACCCTTCTCAAAATCAGTTGTTATTTGGCGATAATTCACTTAACGTCTGCCAAGAGTTTGAACACTTAGGATGATTTCAAAAGCGCTAAACTCTACAAGTTAATTTTCACATAAAATCCTTCGAAACTTACGCACTTGCTTCAGTGCTCATGCCATTCTCGAAGCGCTTACAAAATACCTCTTTAAGGATCTGTTGGTTTCAAGTGCCACCACATCACATGAATAGATTGAATTGCCTAAAAACTTCAGTTCAGTAGGCCCATCAGTATGACACAGAACAATGAGAAAGATACAAGATTTGGCAAATACATTGGTTTTTGGCCTGCCGTGAAGTTCTTCTGCAGTAATAATTATTCATCTGAGGATTGCTGTAACGTTCGAAAGATGTTTTGACTCAGTTGCACAACACGAAATATTCTGTCCGAGTTCTGGATGATATTAATTCATACATTTTGTCTACGGTGATTACTTTAGCGCCTCCTAACAACCTGTTAACTCATGGCAAGCTTCGTTACATAGTAAAATGAGTTTCTTGGGAATGCTTTAAACACAGGTTTTCGCATCACCATACACGTGCTAACACGAGTCGAAGAGTTAAAAGTCATTTTATGTTAATTAACCAGTTTTAAGATTTAAACTTTACTATAACTTCTCCTTTCCAAAGTCCTCACCAGGATACAAATTAAATGGTAGAGCATTTAAGTCGAGGGTTTTGAACGTTTTAGGTACAAAGTTTTGGCTGCATCGCCTACAGTTTACATTCTATCGCAGAGCTTTGCCAGTACATATCTCTAGTTCAACTATTTTGCTAGCCGACGTTAAAAACGCGACGCTAAAAAATATTGAGCCTGCTTAAGTAGGCCAGTTTATGGAGTCTTCGAAATAACAATTTTATTTGAAATTTAAATACACACAAGTGGCTGATTTTTTTTTTTTTTTGGTGCGTACCAGATGTATTTTTGTTCGTTTGAACAGTTGATTAAAAAGCTATTATTTAAGCATTCATAGGACTCTGTCATACTATTTCAGATGGAACGATAATTCGCTTGTCGTCTAACAAAATCTGAAGGATTTTGAGTTAATTTCTGCACAAGTAGAACCCTATTGTGTTAAATCATTAACATTTGAGTACATGCATTATCAATGTAAAATTTAGCATCATGATTAGAATATTTATCTATTATTTATCGGATTTTGGCTATCTGCGAAATTTTTTCAGACTTCTTATTTGTTTGTTTTAAATTGAAGAAAATAGAAATGTTGTTAAATCTACTTCTCAGGAATTACTTTATTAACTGATTGTAAATATAATTCTGCTTAATAAATCGATATGTCAAAAATTATGTAGCATGTTTAACTCAAAAAGAACACCGTTATTAACCAGTCAGGTAAAATTTATTTTTAAAGGCTTGATTTTTTTCATATTCCTAATTTTGAATGTATAATATTTTAATATATAAAATTAATATTTTTCGAACATTTTTTATTTTTATTTTTGCTGGGATTAATTCCGAAACCTTACTTTGATCTGAAATTTGAACTTTTATGAAAAGAAATCACTATTACCGTTTCCGTTGGATGAGCCTTTTGATTGCACGTTGAATGTTAACAAATCTGACTCGTAATATTAACTTTATTTAATTCTAGGGATATAGATTTAACATATATTCATTTAACACAATCACATGATTAGTTACAAGAGGTATTTTTACAGTTCGCAAGTCCGCTTAGCAAAAATCAGGAAAGCCTAGCACGATCAATCACGGAGGAAAGAGAGGTGAGTGCGTACTTCCCGACGCAGCCCGGACCGAGTAACCATTCGAATTTTCCCCAGAGAGGAAAAGGGAGAAAGGTGGTAGCGCCCTCTCTCGGGGCAGCGGACAAATAATAATAATAAAGAGCAAATTCTGTCAACATTTTCTTTTTAATCTGTTGATTTCTGTACTTTTAAAAATCTTTTTTTAACTTTTTGAAACTTTAATGGTAAACTGTACGAGGTGTTAGATAGCAACCTAAAGTTTTCAGATTTCGATTTTCCTTTAAAATTTTGTTTAATATTTTGTTATGGTTATTTTATTTCAATGAAATTTAGGAAGCATAATCAACTTGGAAGTAAGCAAAATTTGTCACCAGCAGTGAAAAGAGCATTAAAAACAGCGACATATTTTGAAAAATCATTACAATAATTTAATGCCTGTAATAGGTTATCTTATGCATGCGTAATATTCGTAAACCCAAGAAGGTTCTTGTCTTGATAAAATGATAAGCTTTAACTTACCTTCGCATCTCGTCGGTGTGTATTGGCTAAATTCAGGTGGACATACACAGACTTCTTCTCCCATTGAATCCTTAACACATTTTCCGTTTTCACACTCGCAGACTGCAGAAGAACAATGACATCTTAGTACATATTCGTTAATAAATGGTACGTTTTTATGAAAGATGTATGCAAGTATGTTGCTCAGCTGAGCTGTTACTTACTCGTTTACGTATTTTTCCGTATCGCCTAGACATACTGGTACTGTAGAGTCCCGCAAACTCAACATTAGTGGACTGAGAGACTGTCGAGTTTTATGGAATAAGGGGTGAGTTTTTCAGATCTCTTAATATTTAACTGCAAATCACTCTACACAATATTGAACACGGAAAAGTACAGCATAAATTTTAAGTAATGTTGATATTTTATGGTCAAGTTCTAGCACAATAGGAGTCATAAAAAAGAACAAATACCGTTAGATAAGTGAATTAAAAACTTAATAAGTGAAGTGAAAACAATTCTTAGTAGTTCTTGATATAAAAGAATCTTGTAATGGTAGATTGTCTCTCACACTCATCCCGTCGTCGTGCAGCTTCACCCTGTTGGGGATGGAGGAACAAAGTGTCCATACGCGATGCACCTTGTTCCTTCATGTAACAGAGCATTCCTTCAGTGGCCTTCAGTCCTTCACTATGAGTCATCAATTTAGCTTTCCCGTTGTCTTCAGTCTCTTCGTTTTCTGATTCGTCTTCCTTTTTATCCATATTGTTTTTCACTAACTATTTCTGTATGTCCTAAAATTTCACAATTTTCATTTTATCCCATCCATTCTACAACATCACTATCAGTAACTTCTTGGAAGCCTGGAATTTTCTTACGTAAGTCAACTATTTCACAATTTTCTCTTTTCTGCTTTCGTGAAATTCGTTTCCTGAATGGCCCAGCAATTTTCTGCAGGAGCGAACGAAGCTTATCTGCTCGATTTCACTCTAAGAATGAGCCAACAACATATAAAATATCCAACTGTGAGAACTTCTTGCCAGACTAATAGTATCACAGAATTACCAGTAATAGAAATCAAATTTGGCGACTTTGTGGTAGAAGCATTACTTGATACAGGTGCAAATTTAAGCTTAATCAGCCAGACACCTTGCAAGTAATAAAAAAATACAGATTCATTACTTAAGCAGATCTGTAAGAATACATACGCTAAATAATGCTACTATCCCATATGTATCTGCTGTAAACTTAAAATTTCGTTTAGGAAATAAATGGCTTGCCAACCAATTTTTTGTTACCAACATAATTGGAACACAAATTATCAAATGATTTAGGGTATGATTTCATTCAAAAAATAAGATACTTATAGAGCAGATAAAAGTCAGTTAATCATTGATAACACATTTTGATCTTTGGACAAAAGAAAAAACTGTACTAATATTAATGCAAAAAAGGTAACAAGAATAGTAGACCAGAGGAGTCGGTATTGTAAGTAGTATGAATACCAGAATTGCGCCAAATACAGCAGAGATAGTAAAGTTAAGCATTCCATTAATATGCAGAAAGAAAAGCAAATAATGTCTCACCAGACAGGCGAAAAGTGGGCAAGATAGGTGTGACTGATTCAATTCATGAGATAAGTGACAGGCAATATATATTCACCATAATTGAAAACAATTCCAATTCCGCAAATTATTCTAAGAAAGGGTGGAAAAGATTGGTAAGGTATATAAAGTCGAAGACAAACAATTTGAAAAACCTAGAGAGCAACAAAATTTGCAGATTAACCATATAACTTTAAAAGAAATTAAAAAATTAAGAAAGGAGGAATTAAGCCCAGATGATTTTGATTTAAGTCATTTAGAAGCAGAACAAAAAAATAAGATGATTGAAATGCTCATGAAAAATTCAGCTGTTTTTCAAAATCTTACACCACCACTCTGGGTGAGACTGATGCTGTCGTGCCACAATTTAATTTTTACATAACTTTCCAATTCAAACTAGACCATACACTATCCTCGCATTGCTAAAAAATATGCCCAAGAGGAGATAGCCAAATTGTTAGAAGCAGGTATTATAGAGCCATCGACATCGAGTTACAGTTTTCCAGTAATTTTTGTCAAAAAGAAAGCACCACCTAATACTGATCCTAGCAAATTAAAATTTAGAATGGCAGTAGATTATAGATTGTTAAATTGCATAACTGAATCATATCAAATATGTCTACCTAAGATTTCAGATATTTTGATAATATAGCAGGTAAAACTTATGATTGTGTGCTAGATCTTAAGTCGGCATTTTTTCAGTTAAATTAAATCAGATACTAGCCTTTTGCACGGAACTTGGCAATTTTCAACCAACTCGGTTACCTTTTCGTGCAAAAAATTCGTCTGCTTGTTTCCATACTCTAATATCAAAATGTTTAGGTGAACTGCAGGGTCCAAATTTACAATAATTTTTAGATGACATAATTGTAGCAGCTAACAGTATGAATAGAAGCTAGTAATTATTTTACAAAAGGTGTTTGACAAGTTAAAAAAATTAATTTAACTTTAGACTCAGCCAAATTGCAGTTATGTAAACAAGAGATTACGTATTTAGGTTTTTCGGTTAATAAGAATGGGTTTTGCTCCTTCAGAGGAGAATATTCAGAAAGTAGCCAAATTTCCTAGGCCAAGAAATGTGAAAGAGGTTCAAACATTCATAGGCATGGTAAATTATTTTCGACACTTAATTTTAATTATGCAGAAATTGTCAAGCCAATAGTAAATTTAACAAGAAAGAATATACCATTCGTGTGGAACGAGAGATGCCAAAAAGCATTAGATAAAATACAAGAATTAATTTTAAAAAACCCACAATAAAAAACATAGAAAATGATAAACCTTTATTTTAGTAACCGATGCTTCTAGATCAGCCATTTGTGGATATTAATGCAAAAAATGATAAGTTTTTCCCAGTACAATTTTACTCAAAAATTTTAACACCTGCTGAGGCTAGATATCCTTCATTAGGAAGAGAACTTTATGCAATCTTCAGATCAGTAAAGCAATTTCACGAAACATCTGTATGGGAAAAAATTTATAATATTAACGGATGCTAAACCTCTGACTTTCCATATTAGTCTTGACAAACAGCCAGATATTGTAGCACGTTGGTTGTTATATTTACAGGAATTTCAATACACGATGGAGCATATTCCTGGTTTAAAAAACCCAGCAGACTACTTGTCAAGAGTTTCAGAGGATGTAGTGGTAAACAATGTAAATATATTAAGACCATGATAATTTGTCTATTCAAACATAATTAGTAAACAGCAAAGTGATCCAGACATAAAATCAATTATAAAAAAATTACAGGAAACCACAAAGAAAGTGTAGACAATATATTTATTGATAGTCATACAATGTAGTAATGATAAAATTAAAACCTGTAAATATGAGAAAGAAAGACAGAAGTATCCAGAATAAAATTCTAATTCCTAAGGCATTAATTAAAGATGTATTACAGACAGTTCATGCGCCTCACTTTGGTATTCAAAAGACATATGAGTTTGTAAAGGCAAAGTATTATTGGAAAGGATGTACAGCGATACGAAAGTTTTGTAGAAATTGTTCAGATGCTTACAAAATAGTCTAGACCTCACAACACTCTGCCACGTCTAATTCCTAAGAAAGATCTGCTCCTGGAGAGATGATAGTATAGCAGTTGGTAAACTGCCAAGATCCATAGATAATAAGTTTTATGTACTCACTATCATTGATCATTATTCCAGATATTGGAAACAGTTCCGTTAAACAACTGCACTTCTCAATCCATCATAAAATCTTTAAATGATTATTTCGCCAGATTTGGCATTCCTAAAATTTTGTTGTCAGACAACGGTTCTTATTTTCGTTCCACAGAATTTAATCAATTTTTGAAATCACTTAAAATAGAGCACAGAAAAAATTCAATTTATTATCTACAGTCAAATGGGTTGATTGAAAGAGTACACAGGAATCAATTGCAGCAATATCAAACAAAATATTTGAATGGCCACAAAAAGTACTTATATTTAAACTGTATTACAACAATGCTAAACATTCTGTAACTCAATTTTCAGCAGCAGATCTATTTTTTTTTTTGGTAGAACGTTAAATACTCCCACAAAAAAGCAATGATTCTCTTAAACTAGTAGAAGATTTCCAGGAATATTCCAAAAGATTAAAGGAACAATTAAGTAGAGATACGGAACGAGTAAAATTGAATGAGGATGAATACTTTAATTGTGCAAAAAAAGTATTTGAAAGGAAGAAACTTCCAGAATTAAAATTAGGGGATAAAGTTTTTATGCAAGAATTTACTGATAGAAGGGGTACATCCAAAAACAGGGGCCATATGAGATCATTAAAAGCTACGAAATGATAATTATATAATACAATTAGAGAATAAAACCACTAAAGTTCACGTAAGTAAATGTTTTTACAAAAGCCTTCAAGAGAGATTCAACACAAAATGAGGATTAGGTGTAACACATTGAAATTGCGATCACAAATCAAAAAAAAAGTAAAGACGTTTGATTATGATTTAGAAGTAGTATGTGTCAAGCTAGATAATGAATGTGATATGTGTGGTATGGTCATTTAGTGTAATAAATACTTGCCGATTTTGGTAGTGTTGGTGTCCTTACCCAAGATTGATTAATACAGGGGTCTCTTGTTACTATTGCATGTCAACAAAAAGAGTGTTCAAAATCCTGTCTTACTGCTGATCAATGAAGTATTAATTAGTATGGATTAAACAATGTAGCTTGTAACAATGTCATGACATATTGGTATATGAAATGTATATGTGAAATAAATATGATCAAATGATAAAAGTAGCTAAGTAATGAAATAGTGAATGTGATTTTAAAATGTAAAGAATGAGATAATGTAAACACAGGTAAACAATGGTTAAGAGTAGTAACAACAAATTGATAATGCTATATCATTAGTAGTTGATAAATTGATTTTTATAACATATGAGTTATAAAGTATATATGTCAAAATTTCTTTTATGGAATCACATCTGTAGTGATATTTTAGGTAAGAGAAGACATGAATGAGTACGAAAAAGAAGAATACTAATTTAGGAATGTA